GCTGTGGTTTATACTGCAACTTTCGTGAACATATATATATATATATATATATATATATATATATATATATATATATATATATATATATATATATAGCCACGATTTCATCAACCATATAGGCGTTAGGCTAAAGTAAAATCTTAAATAAAAGAAAATTAGTTAGATATAAAAGAAAAATAAATAAATAAATAAAAAACAGAAATTTAATCCAATGCTTCCGACTCGCGAGCGAATATATTCTATGATCAGCCATATCCTTCTTTTCTTTTCCCAAATTCTTTCTCTCTTTCTCTACTCTTCCACCCACGAGCCAAGGGCCCGTGAACTTCGAAGTGACCCGACGCGAGAATGACCTGGTTCCAAGATTTCGCAGCTTACCATGAGTGAATTCCAGGCACCATCAGGGTCTCCTGCTGCGATTCACGTGATCGGGACGTACGGAGCATGTGTTGAACTTTTGGCCATCACACAGGCACTGCCTGATTTGCGCCCTATCCTCCTGGGTACCCGGTCAAGGACGAAGGGAACCCACGTGACTATCGTTGGGGACAGCGAAAACCAAAAAAGGATTCTTCAGTTTCCCTCTGACCAGCGGCAGTTGAACGTCGCTGGGCAAAAATCGTCAGACCGCCCACTGAGATGAGGAAGACAGCAAAGTCTGTCGACTAGTGTCGGAAGGACTGCTAGGAAACTGGCCGACCCAACCAAACGCCTGTATGAGATGCTGGGGACCCTCGAACACTCGTGAAAAGAAGAAGAATCCAGGAACATTGTCGGGCGGCCAAGATACTGTTTTATCATCAGAACTCTCGCTTCGGCGAATCAAAACTTTATGTGAACCCGACTGCAAGTTGATTCGTTTGGCTTGATCTGTTTTCATATCTTTATGTATTCGCTCGCGCCTTCTATTCTTTAATGATCTCCCCCCCCTTTGTTAAATGAATGTTTTTTTTTCTTTATTTCGTTATATATATTTATAAATAAATGTTTTATTTTGAAATCCATCGTCTTGTGTCTGTTCTTCGTTGATTCCCTTGTGTCACTTCCATTTCTGAGTGAAGACCGAGAAAAGAAACCACGTTTTCCTTTTTTTTTAGTACCCGTGGTTCATCTATATGCTACAAGTTCGTAACAATATATATATATATATATATATATATATATATATATATATATATGTATATATATTGAGAGAGAGAGAGAGAGATAGAGGGAGTGGGAGGAGGCAGAGAAAGACAAATAATACAAGTAAAATGTTTGTTACTTAACTCATTACCTAATCCCTCCTCTGTAGTGTAATAAGGGGAGTGTAATGTTGCGTGCCGTTGTTCTTCTTGGTCGAGCACTTCTCAATAACATTTCCAGTTGCGCTTTGTGCGATGAAAGCGAAACAACTGAATGATGCGATATATTTTATCTGTCACTGTGATCCCAGGGCAGTCGCCGGGTGTGAAGAAAAGCATAACTCGATTAGCTCTGGCTCCTCGCTCAATAAAATGTCGAATATTTCCTAAGAAAATAGTTAATATCAGAGCCGGCGCGTTTTACCGACGAAACATCCAACTGCGTTTTTTTTTTTTTGATGGGTGGGGGTGCGTTGTGCCATTTTTTCAGTACTGTTTTATGGCCAGCCGTCATTTTTTAATTATTTTTAAAGTGACGTTACATTGTCAGTCATCAACTTATAATATACATTGTGCATCTTCATGGCCTGTGTGGTGTGTACTATGTACCCCCGAAGAGGCTAGAGCCCAAAAAGAGCTAGTTTCAGAAGCGAATATTTTTTCTACCTAAGTTATATCATCAACTGTAATAATCGACAAGGCCGGTGTCTACTACACTTAACCTCTGAACCACGTGGAGGCCCATGCGTACTGAAGAGGGGGGCGCAGAAGTAGTAAATTTAGTAGCATTTATTTTTAAAAATTGTAATTTTATTTCTGAACAGATCTTTTAAATCAATTAAGAGGGGGAATATATCTTGGTAAAATGATTTTTTATTCCGAGATTATCTACTAAGTAGAATCTCTGATTGTCTTTTTACTAATAGTAATACTAACCAGAAGTCAACGGCTAGTAATTAAGATAAAATTTCTAATCCCTATTTTTTCCATTTCAAGAAAGATCAAAATGATCGCTTAAAACATAAAAATGCTTAAAGAATTCAACCGAAAATTTTCCCGAAAGATGAAATACTTTTTTTAAAAGAATTTTCTTTAAGACAGCCAAGTTTGTGTTGTGTTGGAATCTTTGTAAAACTTTTTTTTCAACGGAGATGCGTCAGCGATTAATCTTCATGGAAATGTAAAAATTTGTGATTTAAACATTTTTTTGTAAATTTACTCATGAAAATATTGGTGGTTATTACAAAACAATAACATTTTCTAAGATTTAAAAAAAAAAAAAAAAAAGTAAAACAGCCTTATTATACAAAAGTAAATTAATGAATATTTACTGAAATTTTGATTTAAATTGGATAATTCTCTGATTTTTTCAATTTTAAAAAACTCTGCCCTGGTTTGTGGTCCGCGTGTTAGGAAACTTTCAAGTTGACGTGTAGTAGAGAGGTGGTGTCGCATTAATGTTTCTGGGGGAGCGAGGCCCTAGCACCGACCCAGGTTAATATTATTACTACTGTTATCATTTCAGTGGCTAAAAAAGAGATTCACGTCGAACGAATCTTTCTCCTGATTATGATCAACCTAGATTTTATTTGCTAAAAAGAACGGCTACGAAAAATCAGGATGAGATATACACTCCTTGTCAAAATCTTAAGACGGAATACAAAAGGGTTAAAAAATATATAAAATATATTTACTTTAATGGAAATATATTTGAGAAACATTTGCATTTAATTAGAAAATGTTTGTTTAAATTAATCAATTAAAAGCTTAAAATTGTCACTTGTTTGTTAATAAACTACATTTTCTAATTAAATGTAAATGCTTCACAAATATATTTCCATTAAGGTTTCTGTATTTTATATTTTTTAATCCTTTTGCATCAGGTCTTAAGATTTTGACCCTGAGTGTATATAACGAAAAATTTGGTTCCAGAAATTCTGTATAACAGTAAAAATTTCACAGTCTTGGAATGTATAAGCACTGGTGAGGTGAATGTCTTCGACGGTATCAAGATTACTGAAGATTACAGTAAAATATGGAAAGAAGAACAAGTTTTCGTTGAAACGCTTCGAAGAAAATATAGTAGTATAGCATAAAATTCGTCGGAAACATTTCCTTATAAAATAAATGGAATTTCTGAATTCGTAGCAATTCTGATTGACCTTTCATTTCTGTTGATTTATATCCAATTTTAGATTTTTTTAAAGGTAGTTAATCTAACAGCAGATGAACAAGTCGTTCAAGAAGGCAAGGTTGAAAGAGTGCGAACTGTCAGATTTAGCAAATGTTCCCTTGACACTTGGGGAAAATCTACTGACAATCCACGCTTTCAAGATTTAAGAGAACACCCAGCTATAAAAATAAATATGAAAATATTACAAATTGATTCTGAAAAGAAAACTTTCAAATCATTCACTGAAGGGGAATTGTTTAAAAATATTATTTGTTAAATATTTTCTGTGTATAGAGACTTGGGTAAGTCTGGTTGAGAATGACATTCAGTTGGTAAAGAATTGCATATTCAATATTATTATTATTATTATTATTATTATTATTATAGATAGATAGATAGATAGATAGATTAGGCATTTCAGTTTCTCTTACACGCCCTCTTTCTGAAAAGTTCATATTCGTGCTTATATATTTCGGCTCAACTTATTTGACTCAACGAAGCAAAGGTTAACGTATTAATACTTGCATTTTCAGGCTATGCTTTTATCGTAGCTACCAAATCTTTTTCTACGAATCTGTCCAAAAATAATATTCAGCCTTGTATTTTATATCATATCAGGGGAAGTATTACTAAATACAACTTGTCTACGAGAAACATTCATAGTTTTCACTATATATATATATATACATATATATATATATATATATATATATATATATATATATATATGTGTGTGTGTGTGTGTGTGTGTGTTTGTGTGTGAGCGTGTGTAGGTTGTGTGTGTGTGCGTGTGTGTGTATGACAGAGTGGAAAATGTTTTTTAACGCGTTTCATTCGTTACTACTTGATCAGACTGGCTTCGTTGGCAATGTTGTAACTGCACATAGCCATGAACGAGAGACGCTGGTAGTTTCAAAATTTATAAAGAATATTTTTCAATGTAGCCAGGTTAATTTAGATTCATTTTGTTTGTGTTTCCATCACTTTGGTTATTAAATATCCCACATTGTTACAACAGAAGATCGGCCAAGAATGGTGAACGTTGTAAGAACCTGGACGCAAATTTACCGTTGATGAACTAGCGATTAAAGCACTTTCTAGACATTTTCATCTCAGTGAATTATTTCCTCTTTTGTGACCTAATAAATTTCTATACCCACCATAAGAACAAAAGAAAATCTGGGATTATTATTGGATTCTACTCAGAATATGAAGCCCTTAATATTTAAACATGTATAGGCAAAACAGTATCAACAAATCCAGTCCAATGAAGTCGTAACGGAGGAAACAAAAACTTTTACTATTTTCTCTTTCAAAATTGATCTTGATATATAATATGTGTATATTGCTATCCATATATATATATATATATATATATATATATATATATATACTTCCTAGAATTTTTAGAATCTCCACTTCCATTTAGAATCTCCACCCCCATTTCAACGTATTCTCCCAAGCTATGCGATATATTTCCGATGTATTAACGATGCCCTACAGGATAGAACATTACCAGAATTTGTTGATAGATCAGTCTATAGATGAAAAAGCAATTAAGAAATAACTCACTGGTAAATATTGCGTAATAATTCTAAGAAATTCCTAAGAATCTTCATCTATTATAAAAAGTTTAAAACATATAATTAATACAAAAAACATCTCAAAATTCCCCTCCTGTTTTAAAATAATATTGTCTTATGCTCCCTGGGAGATTGCATCTCCCACATGAATAATTGGAAAACAGCATTAAATACTTACATCGGGCATACATGCAGCACACTCTCTCGTTGACTAACCTGTCACCTGTCTTGAAATGAGTGCAATCCGTTCCCATATCAAACATATTCAACAAAATAGATCTAACACTTTACCTTGAGTAACTCTTGGGCCTTTCATTTGGTGAACATTATGAAAATGTTCTGGTGCGGTTTAGATCCGTGTAACCCTTTTAAACATCACGTGACTTGGGATTATTTGAATATCAGCTTTATAAAAGGACATCTGACAACACCCATTTCTTGAAAATGAGCAAAGCGGTCGAAAATATTTGGACAAAAATATAATTACATTAATTTTTTTCTCTTCTAATCGACAAAGAAGTTATGATTCAACATGTTTTAATCTCATCGCCTTAAATTGTTATCGCTTATTAATGCTAAATGCGTCAATTACTTTCCTTATTTCAAATTTAAACAAACAAGGAAAAACATAGTTTAGTGTTTTCTGTCTGCATTTTCGTTTTAAAATCTCTGTACAGAGAAATCGATATAAATAGAGATCAATAAGAGTAATTGATACCTACATTTCAATCAGAGACACTCAAGCTGCAATTGATTAACTATGCCATACTTATTAATAAAATTTGAGGTATTAATCGACGGTGTAATCGCAAATTATTTTGAATTCATTTCCACGTCAGTATTATCAAATAAATCTACACCTTCGCTTAAAAATAATACAAACACCTTCGGGAAAAGGCGAGTTATTTATTGGGAATCAATAAGCACAGACAAATTATATTCCTGGGATATGAAAATTACCAAAAGAGCTTTCATTAGGCATAGCGCTGTTGTAATTGTTAAATTCTTCTTTGTTAGCAATCGAATAAAAACTGATACAATCTTTTCACAGAGATCTGTGTAAATCTTTATTACTTAACACACACTGTTCGGCCTATTGTGTACCAGAAACATACACAAATATAAATGTATATTTTTCACAGCTCTTTCCTTCACGACCTGAGCAAACATTGCACCACAGAACTTCATCGTACGAACGCCAAATTTCCACTTATAAAAAATAATTTTTTCATGTATTTCATATATCATACGTGTTCCTTTTTTGAGAGACCAAATTACAATAAACTAACCTCTTTCCGTCTATCTTTTTATCCCATTTTCTAGTTAAATAAGCAAAAAATCTAAAAGAGAATGATAAAAGTATCGTTAGTAACGCTATACTCATTGCGTGAACGCGTACAGCCATAAACAACCGAACGAGAAACAGCCAAACATCTTATAAACGTAGACAATAGAAAAAGATGCATATTTGCTATGTTTGTATTTTATAATACAATATTAATATGTGAATATTACATGCATTATTATTGGATGCAGTTAAGTAAAACATCAGTTTTATCAAAATCTTGGTTATTTTAAATACAGCTGTACTTTTTGACTATAGTAAATGGATATATATTTTGGTCAACGGCGTAGACAGGGCCAGTAGTTCCTCTGCTAATTTTATATCTTGTGTATGATGCGACCCCCTTAAAATTAGCTTCAAAATTTGGTCTTCAAAAGTCACATGATACGCGAGTATATAAGGTAAAAACAAACCCATCTCTAAGAAGATTCTTTGAAAATTACTTAAATTCTGTCTAGATTATAAAAAATGGATTGCATATACAGTAACCATGAAATGGGGGATGAGCTTAATACTAGAGAACAATACAAAACTAATCCCTCATTTTCTATCACCCTTTCATTTGATTACCCATAAGGTTATTATGGAATTTCATTCATGAATCTATTCTGGTCAAGAAATGGGAGATGAGTCTAACACTAAATAACAATACAAAACTGATCCCCCACTTTTGACCATCCCTTCCTTTGATTATCCATTGGGATTTCTTTTAATTACAAGAAATCTCGGTTATTTTAAATACAGCTGTACTTTTTGACTACAGTAGATTATAGTTTGGTCAACGGCGTAGCCAGGGCCAGCAGTACTTGCGCTAATTTTATATCTCAAGTATGACACGACCCTCTTAAAATTAGCTTCAAAATTATATCTTCAAATGTCGCATGATACGCAAGTATAAAGGGTACATTCAATTTCAAATCGATCCCTGATGTTATCTGCATTTTTTCTACTTGTACAATTGTTCACTTTCAGGCTATTCCTACGTCATTGATAACTGTGAACTATTTTGACCATTTTGCCCAATTTGACATAATACACATTCATCGATGACGTAAGCACAATTTAAAAGTTTCTATTTGTAAATAAAATCAAAATACATTTATAGCTTTAAAGATTTAGAACATAATTTGTAACTGTATGTATATTATAATAATGAACTCATTTCTAAAATCATAAAAAATAATTTTTTGATTACGATAAATATTGTGGGTAATGATATTTTAATTGTTAGGGTGAACTTACCTCTATGGTACCAAGACTTTATGAATTTAAGCGCAGTACTAGACTGGCGGTTACATCTCATCCTTACACAGCTGAAATTGCTAGATATAACCGTAAGTTCTATGCTAACAGTTCCTTCTTTCACATTTCTCGCTTCGAGTGTCTTGCTTAGCAATGAACTTTGATCTTCAAAAAATTAATTGCAATGTCAATCTATCTATATTATTCGGACTGTTGTCCTCATTTTTGTTGCCATATTTATCACAACGTTTCGACCGTTGTACGCCCCGGCTTTCTTCAGGTGATTGTGTTGTCAATTGTTATTTTCTGCATTCTTAATAACTGTTCTTTTATTGTTCCCTGTCTTTTTTGTTTCTCTCATATTCTCTCACACTTAGTATCCACCTTGCGTCATAATGGCCGCATTGCATTGTTTGTGTGAACTGATTATAGAAGGTTTTTTTTTTTAAATAAGGAATCCGAATTACCAGAATCCCAGTACATGTATTTCCTCATTATAACATTCAAAACATATTCTTCAGCTAAATACACTTAACTGTGATTAAAAGATTATCTTCTATAATCGTCATGATTAACATAAAGAACGATCCTATGTCAACGCGTGGTCGTAGAGTCACGAAGCGCTGAACATCTGATCATTTCGCTGGACATATGTGGGTTGAAAGCCTAAGAGATATTCATTCATACATAGCGTGTCTTGGGCAAGTGAACATGGCGAAAATTACAATCGATGACCTCCAAACTGATGGTTCACCTTGATCTCTTAATTCCATCGTGGGTAAAATCCACCCTGGTCGCTATCTTCCGTCTGAAAATCTAGCTGAAAAGTGACCGGTCTCATCACCGAGCTGACTTCGGACATATTTATTGAAGTTTGTGGGAGACGGCAATTGATACGATAGGAATATTGTTCAAGATCTTGATATATCCTTTTTGGTGTCTATCCTAAGTCGAAAAGCCTGGTCGGGGAACCGGTTCCGGCACCGATGACCCGTCGGTACTATGGGTTTACATGCTACATTAAACACTTACATAATAAACTGATATAACTAGTGATAGATACGTATGTGAAATATTCTTAAATACATTGCTTAAAAGACACACACACACACACACACACACACACACACACACACACACACACATATATATATATATATATATATATATATATATATATATATATATATATATATGAAAATTTTATCAGTGTTAACCTGTAGGAAAAGACAATATTTATAAAAGT